TAAAATACTATTCATGATGTACTTTTTATGAGGTAACAAGCTTTGTTGCGGTGCATCATTTACGAAATCGGCGTTGCCTAGGTCTCGGTCTCGGTCACATTCTATCTGCGAATTTTAGTGTAAAATGGCACAAGTAGTTTGACATATGTCTCAAGTATGTATACCGAATATAAAAAACAATAGTAAATAAATGCGTTATTGTAGAAAAAGCTCAAAAATCGCCTTTAAAACGCTAGCAAGGTCGTCACTCTCACGAATGATCTTAAAATAAAAACACTATCCTGGAAATATTGTCAATCATGTTTAAAATGTAACATGTCAACAACCGTCTAAGCTTTATCATTTCTCTCAATTTGATTAACTATAATTTAATTACCGCGGTGCTCGTTTCGGCCAATTAATTGCATAATTATGCATTCCTTGTACAACTCCTGCGTTATTTACAACAAAATTACATGGATATTGATGACTCGGTTTGATTGAGTATGTACACGAGGGAAAATGAAATTCAAAACATAATTTAAGTCCAAGCTTTGCCTTATGTATTGGTGTATTCCTTTGGTTCTCATGAGAACTCCGCTCCTGTGAATTAATGTTTGTTTTTAAAAACAAGATCACGAAAAATAAAGTTATTTTTTATCATTTTAGCCATTATTTTATTTTTAGAAATTGATACATTCCATATAATTAATAAATGCAATGTTTCTGGTTTTTTCCTGATATATATAACATACAAATAACATTTTTTGAAGTTTACTCTTTTTCAAAATAATATAATTCCCCTTTATTTCCCTCAATGCATCTCCTTTATTTTGGAAAAAAAATCAATGAAAACAAATTTGTGTCCCGAACTTTTTTTTTCAATATTCAGTTTTCCTGAATTCGCGTTCCAGTTCTTCCTGCTTGCAATTATACAGTATTTTTGATAATTATAATAAACAAAACTAATTCTTTTAAAAATGTTCCATTTGTTAAGATAAAAAAGTTGACTGGACAGAATAAAATGTATTACTCATTTGGTTTGTCTTGAAAGTCAGACCAACAACAGGGTACCTTTGGATTGAAAGTTAAATATTGTGCCTGAGGCAGCCATCGTTTAACACTGGGTGGTCGAAAGATGCGACTAAATTGGTTCGAATTACTGGAGTCAATCCATATCTAAGATTCGGCAGGTGAGGTGGATTTAATCCCTGGTGTTGCTTAAAGTATATAACAACCAAGGCTTGCCAAACTCATCTTTCCTGTTCCGGCGCCATATGACCCAAATTGTGTAAGTGCAACCAAACAAAACAAACAAAATTCAGATGCGGGGCATATATTTTTCATGGCTTTCAGATGTCAGTAAACATATCATTGCAAACATATATTTGAAAGACAAAATTATCCATTTAAATAGTAGTGTGTACGATTTATTTAAATTATGACATTTACAAGTTTTAATGAATTTTATTGTCAGTTCAGATCAACCGCTTTTAAGATCATGGTTTTTCACATACACTCGTATTTCAATGCACTCATATAGTGATCTTAAATTGTAACAGTCATTGACAATAAGCAATGACAATACGTGTGCATTCACTCACGTGGCGATAAGTACGTAAAAAATTATTATCCTTTATTGTTTTGCAATTATCACAGTATTCACATCATTTTCTCATTATTATCTAGAAGCACGTGCATGATAAATTGTTTTGTTGCTCTACAAAAAACAAAATAAATACAATTATCACATATACGACGTACATGCCAGTAACATTTACATTAACAGTGTCAATGCCGGTCAGGTCGTTTACTTATTAAAACATGAAGCAATGACAAATTCAATATTGGCACAAAGACATGCGCACAGACAAGCAATTGGAAATTTTTTAATTGGATTCAAACGTCGGTCAAATGAACTCCGAAAGACGATTGTTTTTAGTTTTACTTTTTTTCATTTATATCATAGATGATAAATTGTTAGCTTAAGCAAAACCTATGCCAATAGACATCGGTAAATTTTTTAGATACTAAATACATTTATCGTTGTAGTTGTTAAGTAATTTTTATACCATACCCCCATATTTCCATATTTTTTTTTCTTTACAGCAAACCACTTCTTTTAAAGCACACATCCCTTTCATCCCTCCAACTTTTTGTATACAACTTTCCCTTCGTAAGATTTTATTTGTTGCCAAACCCTTAATATACATGTGGTATCATTAAAAAGGACACCTTTTGATAAGTCATATTGCCATTATCAAAGCTTGATGACGATTAGGTCATTACTCTTTTGTTTTAGCATTACTTTTTTAATTTTAATTCTAATTGAAATAATTTATTACAATATGGAAATAAGAGACAATAACAAGTTGTATGAACCAGAGTTATAAACAGACATTTTACCAATATTAGACATTAAAAGTCAATAATAATTCAATAACAAAATTCATAATTATTTCAAATGTTTTAACATAATCATAAAACAAATTCCTCCTCCTGTATATAATAGTGCTTCAAGCTCCGCTATCATTTTACAAGCCGCCTAAAATATAGCAGCATATGGTACAGGAAATAGCTGATTGATGACGTACGTATAAACTCACGTTATGTTAAGTAAATACTACATTGTAAGTAAGTTCATATTCTTGGAACATATTTATAAATTGTATTAGGCAATAGATGAAAACATTGATGTGCCTTTCCGGTCAGTTGATAATCTAAAGAATTTCTTTCGACAGCATGCCAATAAATCATTAGATTGCTGTACGCTTCCTGGTAGTTTTGCGTGACCCACGGACACATTTAGCTAAAAAATATTGAACTAAAAGTAAGATTTCGTTAGATTCAGTGACCGCATTTTCTGTTAAAAAGCAAAGTATTCATTGATAAATCAGTTGTAAAATTGGATGCAAAAGATAACATGAAGACCTTTATGAATGTTCTTGCGAAACGGATTTATATGAAAAGCATGATGTAAGGAAAAGATATATTTTATCAACTGTACGAACTATAAATTCATCTAATACCATTGACTTATGCATAATGTCAAAACAAATTGTTCAGAAAACATATAATTAAAGATCAAAGTCTAAAATAAGAAGCACTACATTGTCTTTTTAAAGATTTGATAAATCAATATTAAAACACATAAGCACATGAACCTTAATTTCTGCACATACTTCATGACTATGTGTGCATCTGCATATGGTAAAATGAAAACGAAAACCAAGACACGTGACGCTTGGGGTCTAAATCACAGTATTTGACTTAATTTGGCATTATTTATCACCCATGTGTACTTATACAAGTGCAGCGAATGTGGTGGTTTTTTTTTAAATATCTGCCTCCACATCAAAGGATTGGTGCTCCCTTGTCTGAGATCACTTTTTGTAAATACCAGGAAGTGACAGTGGTTCAGAAAACTTGGATTTTGAGCGTGTACAACTTGCATGCAAATACTAATTTAAGATCATACCGTTATTACAAATTTAGTTTTATAAAAGATTACTTGTCTTTGTCTATAACTTTATATTATAATTTAGTTTCAGTTTTTGTGAAAACAAATACTTTTACGACAACAATCATTTATGATTAGACAAATGTATCCGACTATCGATTCTCGTCGAATTTTATAAATTTTCTGTTTTTGATTCTAAGTGTTTTTTTCTGTTTATGATAATTTTTGACATATGATTAGCAACAATTATTCATTATTTGATAATCATTGTATTATCCAGATGAATCATTCTAGGTTTGGATTATGTAGGGTATATATACAAGATAAACTATTTATATAATTGTGTTATTTCACGCCATTATTGTTATTTTCTAGGATTTCACCTCTTAAGATTGATGCGGATTTTTTTTAAAGTTGCATTAGTTAACAAAGATCAAATTTTCGTCATTTTGACGTAGATGGTAGAAAGCTTTTACCACTTCTGTCCAAACCTTCAAATTTTGCAGTCTTAGGCATTCTATAAGGTTCCCATTTTGACAATTGTTGTGTGAACATTTGATAGGAGTTGGTGCGAACATTTTCAAAAAATCAGATTTTTATAAAAATAATAAGAGAATCAATCATATTTTCTTTCTTTTATAGCTATCTACATTTTGTAATACAGCTTTGCAAGCAATATGACATTCACAGATTTGTTTGACAAAAGCTTTCATTGGATATGATTCAGCAACCTACATTTTTTTTATCGTTATCGTTATTCTATCCGTCGGTTTAGCTCAATAGGGAGAGCATTGTGGGTCATTGGATCGATCCTCAGGACATGCGAACTTTCTCTTGAATCATTTAATCTTGAACATTGATTTAGAAACCATGTGCGATAAGAAGTCGGTTAGTAGAAATTGGTCATTACTGGTTAGTTATCCAGGTAAGCCGGCTAGTTCGATCGGCTGCCGATGAATGACCAATAAATGCGTTAAAAACAGAGAAAAAAAACAACAAATATCCTTATTTTTATCATTTGTTAAGTTATGACATGTTTACTACCAACTGTAATGGATCAATTGTCCAAGCCATTACCTTTTTTAATTTATTAAAAGTGACATTGCAATCTAAACTTCAAAGCCCATACCCATCAATATTCAATGTCTTAAAATTAGAATAAATAAAATGCTAAATTGTATGTAGGATATATTCGTTTAATTGAGAAGTGGGGTTATAATGGTGAGGTTATTGATATAATTTGCTACGTTTTCATTTGTCAAAACTTATATCATCGTATTATTGAAGGTTCCATGACAACCACCATATGAACAATCCCGCAGATCTTTCAAAAACCTAAATTTTACCAGTACATGTTAACTTTTGCTTAAGCCGGTGCTGGGGGTGTGGACGGTAGGTTGCAATTAACACTACCGTCCATGAACAGGCTCAATCAAACTGAGCCTGCAACATTTTAAATGTTGCCCTTTCTTCAGGGATTCTGTTTTCTCTATTTTATTTGTACAAAAAGTTACGTGGTAAAATATAATATACAATAAGACTAGAGCTTATGAAAGACGTTTTACTTTTCCATACCAAAACAATAGATAAATAACATGTTTTATAAATCTCTCTAGGAGATAAATATGTGAAGAAGTTTTTTTTAAGTTTCTTTTTCATCAGAGTCAAACATCGGATAAATATTTATAGAACTTGTTAAGTCTTCTTCGAGTAGATCAAAATCCAGCATTTTAGTTTAAGCACCAATATTGTTTTAATAAAAAAAAATTATTCTTATTTTAATTTTTTCTTTGTGTGTAAGAGGTCAATCCAAATTTAACATAGTCTTATTAAAATTACTTCAAAAATGTCAGTGCCGTTATCTAGTATTTTTCCGCAACGCCATCCCATATTTGACTTTCTGACATCTGCATCTTAGAATTTTCCAGAATGTTTTTCGGAAGTTTGCATTACACAACGCATAACACAGTGGATTTACTGTAGAGTTGATATAGCACAACCAGTAACCTGAAATTAAATGAAATGTTTCTAAGATATAAGTTTAGACAAAAAGGGTGTGATTGCAAATGCTTGCATATATATGACAACATATGACAGATAGTATTATTGTTGCATATCAGACCTGTGTTTCCGTTAATTTTACCCATGCCAGAAATTTCACCAGGTATAACCCAAAATAATCAGATACTAATACATCCAATCTTTCCAAACGGACAAGGGCTATGATTCCCATAGAGTGTTCCTCACTTTTCCTTACATTATAAGTATTAGCATGCGTATATGTCAAACAATCATGTATGCACAGACAAATAACCAGGTAAAGTATTAAAAACGAATTTATATTACATCTCCATTTCTTCATTTGGAACATAAATTTACAGTAGCCTTGTTATTATATATATATATTATATATATATAGTATATACATGTATGTCACGGTTATCTATGAAATTACCTTTTAAAGCTGATCTGTTACAAAAACGAATGTAAACCATTTAAATATAATTTAATTCTGTTCGTATTGTGTTTCAATGAAGAAACGAAAAGTACACATCAAAAGCAGAACGTATGTGAAACATTTCCTAGGCATTTGCTTATATATAAAAATACTTCTGATGGATGATATCAGACATTTCATCATTAAGTTTTGTAAGGATACAATGCATCTAAATTTGCACTGATTATTCCGCCTGAAGGATTTGTCCGTTTGTATTTCACGTCACGAACAAAACCATCTTAGATTACGTGTTCATTAGCAAAATCGAAACCATTGCCTATCAAATGAGCATCAGAACACACGCGATCAATACAAGTAAATATTTTATGTGAAGGTTAACGATTTGTTATATAGCAAATAAATAGCGAGAGGTTAGTAATAGCATACTTTAGTAAATCGTATAGCGTGAATTACGGTACCTATATCACTTATTTATTTATTTATTTACTCTTTTGCAAGCTGTGGCTTGGTAACGATCTTGTATGACTCAATTATATAATTATTTAACGTATGGTAATATATTTTGTGCAAATATTTAAATGTGAAATAATTCAATGACAGATTTTAAGCATAAATTTACGAAGAAAAACTCTTAGTTTGACTAATTGTTCAATATTTTTTTGTAAATTCTAGGAATTAAGTTTTTCTATTTTCTAAGTAAGTTACATTTCGTTTAATTCTGAAGTTCTGAACAAGGTAATAAAATGGACAACTATATAAAAGCAAATAATCAATATATACTTACCAAACGCATATAGTGTTGGATGAATACACGTCAAACAAAATGTGGATACTACAGCAAATATGTTATAAGGTGTCCATGTTATAATGAAGGCAAGGAGTATCGCGCTAAGAGTTTTCGCTGCTTTCCTCTCCTGACGTCTCTCTTGGCGTTTCCTCTTAACACGTTGACTTTCAATTTTGTTTACAACTTTATATGCTAAATGAGCCTCGGACGCAGTTTTTGCAGCGTCCAGAGATTTAGCTCGTCTACCAAGTGCAGGCGTACCTACACGTAACGGAACCGAATTGTCACTTATAGCTCGGGAAGATTTTTGATTTTTATAACTTGGTTTTGGTTCATCTTCAGTTTCACTATCACAAGAAGAATATATAGACATCGTCTTGTTTTGATGTTTTATTCTTTTGCTGCTAGAACTTATTGTGTCTGAAATGATATCGTTACGAAGTTCGGAATGATTGTCGTCTGACGCGACTAAGTCTGTATACATTGTTACAGAAGGTTTTAACTGATTGTTACTTATATCTCTTTTATGAAAGTCAATGAGAATGGTATAAGTGTAGTCATCGTGCAATAAAGGTTCTTGCAAACGAGATTCTGAGGCACTCTCGTGAAAACCTCTGCCTTCGTCATCTTTTTTCTTATTTTCAGAACTAGTTGATTGAAGTGGAAAAGACACTGAAACACTACTGGCCATTCCATTGCTTTGTGTTTTACGATTTGACATTGCACGATATTTATTTGTCACACGTTGTGATACAAAATTATGCAAATTTGATGGTGTAGAATTTGGAGATGTGGGAGAGTCACTTGTGCTTGATTCTTCCGTCTGTTCATAATCTCTATCTATCATTCTACAACAGCAACAACAACGATGAAAGACAGAGCTGTGATCACCGGGACGTTGGTCAGATTCTTCGATCTCGTCATCGAGATAGGGAGACATAGTATCATTACTACGATACGTTGAACTTCGAAGATCTCCAGAGTTATTACTAGGTATACGCGCTTTTCTCTTTGAGACAAATTTTGAGGAGGCTTGAAGCATTGGCATTCTTTTTTGTCTTTTCTCTGTTTCACGATATATTTTAAAGTACAAAGCTGTCATTATTGTAACAGGAATGTAAAATGCCATTAATGCTGTTAATATAGTAATAACAGCATTTGTTGTTAGAAACTGTATGTAGCATTCTGTATCAGGAACAGTTCTTTCACCTTCGATATGAGGCCAAGCGAATATCCACGGTGTCCAAAGAAGAACAGAAACTAGCCATGCACAACCTATCATTATACCAACTTTTCTTGGCGTTCTATTTGCTCTATATGTAAGTGGTCTTGTTACAGATAAATATCTGTCAAAACAAATGATAAGCAAGTTAGCCACTGACGCATTACTCATCGTGTAATCAAGAGATAACCACAAATCACACATTAATGTACCAAGAGGCCAGTAACCCATTAAAAGATATAATGTATATAGGGGCATTGACACTAAACCTATTGTAAAATCGGCTACCGCTAGACTGAGCAAAAAGCAGTTACTAATTGTCTGAAGTTGTTTGTCTATTTTAAAAGCTATAATAACTAGTAAATTTCCTGCCATTGTGAAAATTGCAAGAAATCCTACAACAACAGAAATTGCAACCATTTCGTATACATTTGGCTCGCCCGGTAACGTGATATTTTCAGGAACATTCTGTGTAGTTTCAAACACGTTTAAGGTTGTTGTGTCAACGGTGGTATTAGTCACTGACATAGCTGTTCCTCTTAACTTTCATATCTGATATATCCAAACGATATCATAATTAAAATAACCATTTTTTTTTAAATGATGGTTACTATCATTTATATATTAACATTTAACATTTATTTATCATGCTGTATTGTTTGATCAAATTTCAATAAATCCACAGTATTTAGTATATCCGTCGACAAGATGATGATTTCAAACAGCTTCCTTTTCCGTCAGCACCATACTAGTTTGATATTCGTCACATCTGTAAAATTAATAAAATCAGTGCATTGAAGATGAAAAAGACAACAAAGATGTTAATGCTATGGAAGTAAAATATTGAAAATCATATATCTTTTTTTCTTAAGATATGTACACGAATGTTTCGTAAAAATGTTTTTGGTGCTTTAAGCCCAAGTTCTTTTATCTATAAAGAAATATTAGTAAATTTTTCGAGTGTGATCTGCAAAGTCAGGACAAAAATAGAACATTTTGTGTTAACATTTAAACAACTCGATTTCTTAAGACACATTATTTGTACCAAAACAAGATGTGCCCTACACCTGAAAATCAGCCTACCACATAAAATACAGTACAGTTCAAATAAGATAAGACAGTTTGACACCTTGAATATTGATTTTCAAAGTTTGCAGACTATGTACTTTCTAAATTAGAACTTTTAAGTAAATAAATAATGAAATATTCCCTTTTAAGCTTTTGCGACTTAGTAATTTAAAGCCAACATATTTTCAGACGACGGCAATGGTTATTTTTGTCAAGAAAAAATCAACCCCTAGAAAAGTTTTTGAAAAAACTGAAACTGCTGTACCATAAAACAAAGCCATATTCCAATTGTTTTGATGTACCTGTACAAATTGCTTTACGTTAAACTGATTATTAGTTTATAAAAGCTTTATTATATTCGTATCGTATCTATTCATGTTCTTTATGATGTTTATTTCAACGTTTTTGCTATTTTACTAGCTGTATGATTTGAATTGATTCGATATCCGTTTCATGTTTATACAGATGTTGCGGAATCATTTATTTTTATTCATTGTGTAAATATTTGGTCATAATAGACTAATCAACAGCATTGTAATAGTTTCTTTCATCATTTTTGATCTTCAATATAATAGTGATATCGTATAGCCTTGCTCTTTGGGACGTAACTGTTATAGATATTTAATCAGAATGATCGTCTGCTCATCGAAAGTATAAAAATTAATTTCTTTCTGATTTTAGGCGTATGATACAACATAAGAAATTAGTCCGTGGAGACCAATAAAATCAATAAAAACCAAAATTGAATCAGTGGAAATCGCAAACTTGGTTTGGATCTGTTTATGAAATGTAATGAAAGTGGTAAGGTTAGTATTGATGGTTCAATACTTTCCGTATTGGAATACCAATGATCAAGAAGAATCAGAAGATTGATTCGGAAAAATAACAATACTGAAATGAGCATTATTACAGCTTCCACAAAGATATAAATTAAAATGATAAAACAGATGACCACAACAAAGAAGACTCAGATTTTAAGTTAATCATGCATGAACTTTCGAAAAGTTCAACTCTCTTTTAAACTATTAAGTGGCAATAAGCTTTGACGTTGATTAAATTCCTGCTGTGGCATCGATTATGTTCCATTAACTAAAAAAATATGTAATGTATCAAGAAAAACTTCCATTAAGGTTACAATGATATCAATTTCTATCCTCTTTCGCCCGATTTGCTATAATTGATATATTCGATTTTTGTTTATAACGGATTACTCCATTAAATTAGAACAGTAAAGAAAATACGTTACAAATATGAAGAAAGTGAATTTTAGTCCTTTGCTCGCAAATAAGATCAATTTTAACAAGTTTCAAGCTAATTGAATTTGGTAGCTGTTTAGTTAAAAAAGACCTTGTTAATATTATTATCCCGTAAATTAATAATAGAAATTTTCAAACTAAAAGCAAACAAGTACATTTGTATTAAGCATGTTGAAGATTAATCTTAGCAGTAATTATTCCAACATGTAAAAATATAAAACCATTCAGACAATAGTAAAAACTATGTATGTTCATTATCAAATTTAAAACGCAATGTGTTTTAAATATATAAATGATTAAATGTCATTTTGTTAAGGTAACGAGTCGCATAGATGAATGACGACTTTGAAATTGAATTTCGTTGGCAGAAAGACTAACATTTATTTTCTTGCAATTTTAAGAAAGAGCTATAACCTTGTTTCTGAAATCTGTAAACAAGCTGTATTTCACTGGCGCAATTCAAACACCAAGCGTTTTGCTGCCGTTGTCCAAAACGTCAACAAAGCGCAGCCGAAAAACATTGAACATTGACAATCGGGAAAGTGCATAGTAAAGCACTGACCAGAAACGGGGAAAGCCGTTGGATGCACAAAGAATGTCAACAATTTAACTTTAAATCCACATTTAATGTGGCTTAAAAGTATGAAATTTTGACTTACGTGTAGTTTTAATCTTGATGGAATGTTTTTGAAACTTTGTATCATCTTTAGTCTGAAAATATAGCAATAACAAAATTTAATTAAAACAAAAGAAGTTTGTATGCAAAATATTGTTAAGGAGTTACTTGTTTGTGCAAGCTTTTATTTCGACATTTATTCAATTGTAATCTGTAAAGTGCTTTTCATAGCAAAATCATGGTATCTACTTTTGTCGATGGTGCATTCTTCCCAGCCTCTTTACCGTTTTTTAATTTTGATATCAAAGTCTAAAATTTCTCATGAACTGCACGGAATTCAAGGCAGTAAATCCATTACATACATACAGGAAAATACATACAAGAAAAGCGTTATAAAAACTATTCTTCAACATATTGTTAAAATCATAAATTTAGACCTTTAATTAGTATAACAGATCATGGTAAAACAGAATGAAGAATCAATACAAATTGACGTCTCAATAAGATAAAATATGTTTATAAAGCCCTTATCGTAAGCCGAATCTTCACATTTATCAGATTGGTTCCTGTCTAGATATTGGACAGATTGTGACCGAGTATGACCTGAATCTAATAACTGAATGACTTAAGACGCTTATAAACCATCGATATGTTTGACTCAATTACAACAGATGAAACCCCGCGTAGTGAAAACCTATATGTTCCTATTGTTTGTCATTGCTGAAATAATTAATTACATTGTCTAAAAATTCGATCTTATTTCAAACAGACTTCGTTTAAACGCAATATGGCGTTAAGAGCAATGCATTTTCTTTGTTTTGTTTGTTTGGTGTTTTTTGTTTTGTTTACGGCGCACCAACACAATTTAGGTCAAATGGCGCCGATACAGGAAAGATGACTTTGACTAACCTTGTGTGTAACAAACTTCAAGCAACACCAGGTGTCAAAACTACCTCACCTGCTAGACTCCAGTTATTCGAACCCCTTCATTCGCCTCTTACGATTACGCAGGGATAAACAGTGGCTGCAATTCTGACACCTCAACCCTTTAAGGCAACCCCTTAGTCTCAGAGGGGAAACATTACCTATTACATTACAATGGATATCATATACTTCAAATGTTCGTACTCATGATGAGATATAATAGATTTTCTATTGAAATATGATTCTAAAATAAAATCTTATAAATTTTACAATTATTATATGAATTGCATATGATGATATCTGTGATTTTCAAGTAAGCCGATACTACAAACTACTAAAATCCGTTACGTTATTTCTCAGATGTCGTTTTGTCAAAAGCATCATTTTATAACATTACAGCGGTGAGTTATTTATTATTGATACAACTATCAAATGAAGAACGTTGCATGGCAGAAATTGTGCTACATTTCCATTACTACAATCGATTTTGTTTTTCAAACTAAAATATAGATATATAATACTTGTAACTGTTTCAACAGTGTCCGATTTTACAAAACTGGTCCAAAACATGTTTATAAACAGATTCAGTATAAAACAATTATAGAGACTTTAATGGAACCTAAAAAGAAAAAACTTCATTGATGCAGTTCATAACATACAATTATCAATATACAAATGTATAAAAAAGCAGCGCTAAGCCAAATATGCATTTCAAAACATTTTCAAAATTAGAATGCCCAACACAAAAGTCAAAAATAGGAAAATAAAGTTGATTCATTAGTACTTTCCAAGAATTGATATTTGGTCTGACGTAAATAGATTCTTAGTTTTTTACGGCAGTGATTTCATATGCTTTATGTTGAAAAATAATATAACTTCATGTATATCTATATAAATAGGTTATAACTACGTGTAAATATTATTCAGAATATCTCTTAATTGAATTAGTGTTGAGCCCTGTGTGCATGTTAAAATAGCAGTGAATTTCTGTCTTCGAATGCCAACCACCTGAGTAGCTATTTATTAAATTCAAAAAAAGATCTTAAACTATTGCTTTATGAATGTGGCCAGCCTGTACACATGAACCTATAGCTTTACGCAACGGACGTTATGTCGCAGTGTTTAAAATGTTGCCTCGATTGAGTAATGTTTCAGTGTTGGTTACTAGTTTCCCCAGTTTCTTTCGCTTTCAATAATTTCTTGGCATGTACCGTTGCCCCTTAAAGGGGAATTTTTGGAATCCAATTTAAGCCAGTGGCACTTTTCTCCATATTTTTATTTAGTAAAAGGGGCAGAGCTCCCAATAAAAAACGAAGCATGTCAGTTTTGCAATGTTTATATATTATCAATCATAAAGGTTCTTCTAGCTTGAGATCATTCCCCTTTCCAGATATGTTTTACTTAAATCTGTTCCTATATCAAAGGCATGATTAGACATACTTTCAGTCTGGAATCTATATAAAATGGCATTTGTAATAATTATGAAAGAAGTATGTTGCCCTGTACATATACATGTTGTATAACTACGCACTTGAATACTTTGTAGGTTTGGGTGTTCTTGAGTGTAAATAGCCCAATCATTGAAGCTGCACTATTTTTGACACCCAAGCTTGAGGACATTAGTTTGACAGGAAATACAACTCTAGATTAGAAATCATCCATTAATAAATCGATAAATTGATTAACTATTTACAAATGCCATAATTATATGGATACAATATAGAATGATATGCATTAAAGAACAAAATTAAATACATGGAACGTACAAAAACATATTTACATGTAGATCAAAGAAATTGTAACATCATTATGGATAACATAACGACATCAAATGAAATCAAATGAAATTTCTTAGAAAAATAGCTGTAATATGATATTACATGTGAGGCTTCCAATTTTATGTTAAGATAAAACTGATATAAAAAAAATATTGAAGCAATCATGTGTCCAAATATATTCCTTTACGATTCGATATTAATTTCTTTATAAATATAGTTCAAGAGAACAGTTCGCTTTCATGAAAAAAATATTCATGAAATTAGACATTCGCTTGTTAGAACATTATGATGTTAATCTTAAGTTTGTAATATATTTTCATTTTATTTGGAAATAACATTTCTATCATGACAAAAAGTTATTGCTTTCTGTGCTGAAACTTATTTAATTAAATGCTTTATTATATGAACTTTATATAGCTGCAATCTCATTGGTCAAAAAGAAGTCAATTAAATAATTTATAAAATCATAATCACTGGGTGTAATATCATATTCCTGGCTGAATTAGATTTTCCCAATCTAAATATAGACTGATACTCATTTAATGATCATACATCGTAGATTGTGCGCATAAAAAGAAGTGATTGTTGCATTTTGTTTTTATGGCATATTTCTCGATTAAAATGTTAGCACTTTACTATAATAGTTAAAAGTTACATCGCTATGGTAAGTATTAATTTCAATTACTTTTGTTTTCGCAGAGTCCGCGCAGTCGTTGACCGCCTGCCGTTATCTTGTAAGTGCGTCTTTTTTCCGCGTTTCATTGAAACAGAAGGCTGTACTTCTTGTGATTTTTTTGAATCTTAGCCTATTCATATTTATCGCCTCGGTAACTATGTCATCTGCCGATGAATATCACATCATATTTAATGTCAATAATTGTAAAATATTCTTACCTTTTTCTATTAAGCATATTATATAGAAAGATTGATTGTTATCACAAGAATTTAAGATTTGTCATGATCTTGGTGAATGTAACAAGAGTGAGCTGTTTGTATATGACGCAAATGTTCCAAAATATTATTATTACTTTTAAATAAATTCACCAAGAAATGTAAGCGCATATGATGTTACGTGTAAAAAAGGCATTATCGCGTTCATATAACCTTTACAAGTCTTGTAAATAATCTGATACCATAATTTAACATCAAAATAGGTGTTTTATCTGACGGTAATGTGGCAGATGATTTGCTAGAATGTGAGAGGAACTTTTATCGTTTGATATAATAATAAGAGCATTTTGTCATCAACTAATGTCATTTTGTTTGACAGAGATGATGTTTGCAAGATAGAAAGTTTCGTACTTCTCAAAATGTTGCCTATATATTGTTCGATACATTAAAATTTTGCAAGAAAAACGACAGCAACTGTCCATTCATTTTAAGAGTTTTTTTTATATCAGGGATAAGAAAATATCATAAAGAAACAGAAAAATCTGAAAACGTAATATATATCAACAACATTTTAAAAGAAAAATACAGGAGATATCTCAATAGTCTTTTTATCAGATATTTAAAATTGGGAACATTAATTAAACCACGGCATATATGGAAATGTTTCGCTTTTAACGCTCCTTATGCAGATTAGCCTAATCTGTTTATTTTATTTCAACAATTTTAAAATATGTTCTTCTCATTAGGCTGATGGGGTTGGTAGAACTTTATTGCCTAAATGCGGTTCATACATAAAGAACCGTATAGAGCCGATCCTTTATTCTTTTTTACTATTTTTGGTAGACATCTTATGCTCCCCTAGTAGTAAGCATGAAGAAGAAACCAAGTAAAATATTGATTTTTTGCACTCACTTTGTATAAACAGTATTTTTTAAAATAATTTTCTCGTTACTGGCGATCAAAGGAACATGGGAATTGATTTTTTAGCGTAATATATTGATAAAGAAAGTGTTTAAAAAAATTATCTGATAACTCTTTGGTGAATCCTCAAAAATACATATATGAAGGAACTGTCTATATACTTATGTGTAACATTTAAATGAAAATTAATTTGAGCAATAAAATGAATAAAAAGTTATCAGTATATTTTTTGTATCGTATAATAATAGATTGTTGCGGGGGGAAAAGGAAGAAAAATAAGATGATATGATGTTGTAAAATGAAGTATGATGAAAATGAAACTTTCTGAAAGTTAATGCATTGCTATTTTGCAACGTGTGCAATTTCTTATTATATTTTTGTAAATCCAGAAGCAAATGTTCAGACGTATTCCGAGCCTCCAGGGGGTCACCTACTTCAACGTTTGTTGCTATAGATAATTAGTGCTGTTGAAGCCATTCAAGGCGAACGAGAGATGGAATTACGCACAAACCTCATTGCAAGTGATCACTCATTTTCTGAAATCAGTTCTCACAAACATCCAAATTATTGAGATGATTTAT